ATTGTAACCCTGGAAACCAAAATCAAACAAACATAGAAAAATATATTAGAACTTACACGAATCGCCACGGATTTTGAAGATTCGGAATGTAATGAAGAGAGGAAGACATGATGAAACAGATATGAGAATTTACTGCGCTGCTCCAATAGCTGTAGCTGCTCCATTTGTATATGTTGCTGCTTCCTTGCCTTAATTTCTTGTGCCTTCATTCCACGAAAACATGACGAAAACGTGTTCAGAAAAAAAAAAAAAAAAAAAAAAAGCACAAACAACAAATTTCTTTTTTCCTGAAAATATATTTCTAAAATAACAAAATCCAAATACAACAGAATGAAGCAACCTCAATGTAAGCTGCAGCAGCCTCCGAACGCTTCTCAGTTGCCCTTGCAATGAAAGTGTCTCAACGACAGACCATTTAAAGAGGAATCCTGCAACGACAGACCATTTAAATCTAAGGTTTACTCTCCAGAAAATTATTCAACAGATATACTGTAAAATATTGGCAACAAAATCTTCAAAAATAAAAAAATACATAACATACTATCAAATCATGTCACCTTGGTGAACAAAATATATGAAATGAAAAAAATGTATCACGAAAACATAGTCTTTCATCATCAAACAAATTTTTTTTTTCTTTTCCTGAAAAAAAAAAAAACATTTTAAATGATTGCAAAACCTTACATAAATTAGATCTTTCTACAATCACATCAATTCCTAAGGTTTTGCAACTAAAGCTATTATGATTCTACAACCAAAGCTACAGAGCATCCATTTAGGACTCCATAAAACCACACCCAGTCAATGTCATTCCATTATATTGCACAGCCCCTTAAAACTTTGCCTTTGTCCATGCTCGTATTCTCATTCACCGCAGAGTTACAGAGACACTAAGATATTATTTATTACATCCTAAATTTTCTGTACTTTCATTTTTGTTATGTTCCTTTCATTGTGTAAACTTATACTAATTCTTTATAATTTTTAGCAACGTTCTAAAAGATGCAAGGCGCTAGTCGAGCGGTGGGCTGGGACCTAACGTTTAAGCGGTTGAGCGGAGCCTGGGCAGGGGCATGAGTAGATTAGGTGGATTTAATAACATGAGTAGATTAGTTGGATTTATAAAAAAAAAAAAAAAAAAAAAAAAGAAGATACATAATTTTATTGGGAGACATAAATTTCAAAATAAAATGAACTATAAATTATAACGTATTAAAATATATTGAGAACATGAGAACAAATATATAATGAGTGTTCATTCGAGTATTCAAAAAGTCTCTTACATTTTATTGAAAAAATAAAATGCAAAATGAAAGTTATCAATTTTTTGTATAAGTGATAGTCGCAACTGAGGCAGGCTAAGCGGGCATTGGGCAAACAAGGCAGATACCTAAACAGGTCTAAATGTCATTTCTTAATTTTAAAACACTTAGAGATTAATTGGGGTAATGATCAACCGTTCAAATTCAATTTTTCATTCTAAAAATGAAACGAAAGCACATTTGTAAAGTCAACGTAATTCGCAAGTAAATAAAGAAATCAAAGAGATCTGCGATTTCTACAATGATAAAGATTCCACCTGTCCCCTGGAACACGTGTGAGCACTCAGCCAAGAGGTAACTGAGGGCAATTTTGTGAACATAATGTTCAACATTAGAAAAAAGCAAGGAATAACAGAAAAAACGAAGGGCATTTTCGTGAAAACACTGTTAATGAACAGTATTTTTCACTTCAGCCTTACTATAGAGTAATTTGCATTTTATTTAGTCACAGAACATATTTAATTTTAATGCTATTCTTGAAACAGCAATAGACGACTCGCCAAAAATAAAAAACTTTGGTCAACCGAATTATTTTTTTGGGCCAATAACCCATATTTAAATTAGATTTTAATTATCTTAATAAAAAATGAAAAATTTGAATGGAAAATTTTCTTTCAACATGATTTTTCTCTCTATTAGGGTCTGCGAAGAAAAACCCTAGAGAAGACCCACTGCCACACCCACAAAACCCCTATCATCGGTTTGATTTTCGTTTTTTTTTAGTATAGCGGTATATTTCATACTAGCGGTATATTTCATACTTTTTTTTTAGAGAACTTAATGTGGTATCAAATTCGTCATCCACGAAATTAAAACCTAAAACCTCTCATTTGTAAGTAAAGATCAATGACAAGTTCCTTGTGGTCACTAAGTCCAGTCATTTCTTGGTTTTCAATTCTTAAGACTCCATTTCCTTGTTCATCCCTTATTCCCACTTTCTCTCTAAATTTTTCTGTTCTCTAACTTTACTTCTACATTGATCTGAAGGACTTCGTTGTGATCCACCCGTGTGCTTTTGGCCAACTTTGTCTGCTGGCGACTTTTAGTCGCTCATTAGCGACTCTTATTCGCTATTAGGCGCAGTTGGATCATTGAAAATTGATTCTTCTCCAGATGCCGATGGGACTTCAATTTCGTTCTCATTGCCCTTTGAATTGTAGAAAACCAGAAAACAGTAAATCCTTGTTCAGCAGCACTTGTGCCTGTGAAAATTGATTTTACATCATGGAGTTTATGGCATAACTCAGTGAATTGAGGTTCTGATCTTCATTCATTATATAGGCTAATAAAGCCTCAATGTACAAGTTGACTTTGTATACAGAATATACATATACGGAAGGCATTTTAACAGATGATTTGTGCAGGATATCAGTCAAAGGGGTTACAAACAAACAGGGATTACAGCAGGCAGTGATCACAGACAATCAGGAAGCAATCGATCAGAGTAATTATCGTCTATCAGACCCATCGTAAGAAAGATGATTCTCAATTGTTCACAACCACCGCATTCCATCTGCATTTGCCAAAACTTTAATCCCATTCTCATTGGCAGAAGCAGCCAAGAGAGTGCCATCCTTGTTGAGGCGGATACGAGGGCTTGCCTAGGAATTAGGAGGGGTAAAGAAGATGAGCAGCTTGGTATTTAAGATTCTATTATTTCAATTTACTTAAAGGAAACGAACCTATTGGGAGGCCTCCATCAGCATCAGCAGTTGCCAGAAGTTGAATATTGTCCATGTCCCAAAATTTAATAGAAAAATCATCACCAGCAGCCAAAAACCGGTCTTTAGTAGTATTGAATTGCACAACACCAAAAGAACGCTTGCGAAAGCCTTGATAGGTCCTCTTCAAGGCCCCTTCACTTTCATTCCATTCAACAATATATGACTCACCGTCTTTACTTGTCCCACATGAAAATAGCCTGCAACCCACCACCAAAGAAAAACAACGAAAAGAAATAAATAACTATATAGTTTGCCCATCCAGCAAAAGGAAAAAGGAAACTCTGAGCTAAGTATACTAACCTTGTACCATCAGCACTGTAAGCCATGGTTGTGCACCAGCGACCAGGCGCATCATAATCAACTCGAGATCCCAAATTGTCATACTCCCAAGCCTTTATCTTTCCATCCAGTGCTATTGAAAAAATAAACTGAAGCATAGCAGCAAACAATGAGCACGAAAAGACAAGGACAGACGGGCACCAGAGACAGAAACACAAGGTGTAATTAGTAAGAATGAAAAAATAAAAATAAAATGCCACAACACCTGAATGTTTTCCTTATAATGTGGGCAGACAGAATAAACTGGAGCCTCTTGACCTTCAATAGTATATTGTTTTGCACCGGTTGTAGCATCCCACACCTAAATTTATGAAGGAAATCAGCAAGGAACAGAAAAAGCTCTTCCAATGGCAATGACAAGCAAACATGTTCGGCAACTAACGAACCTTGATGGTCTTGTCATCCCCACAGGTAATCACACAAAGCTGCTCATTGGGATGGGAGAATGCCAGATCATTTACTCCACCAACATGTGCATCAATCTACGACAGTAATTTCAGAGTCACCATTAATACAGAAAACTAAGAGACAACAAGAAAAAGGTGTAAAAAATTGAAACAGCATCTTCTGTATATACCTCTAGGTGCTCTCGTACGTCATCACCCCCATGATAAGAATATATTTGAACAATGTGCCTCGAGTAAGCAATACCTATAATTTTATTGTAAATGATACAATAATTAGGATCTAATTCAATCCTTAAAAATTTATAAAGCCATATCACATTTGCCAGAGTTACCTAAGCATGCTCAAGCTTACCAAATAAAGCACCATCAGGGCTCCGATCACATGGTTAACAGACACACAAGGATCCTTAACTACAGCAGCCAGCTTCACAAAGACAAATTTACTTTTCAGTCAACCAACTCATACATCCACAAAGAATACAGTGCACACAACTTTTTATGTCACATGAACAAGCATAGAAAGGGAAAGACCTGCAGGAGCATTGAGCATGAACTAAGATCCCATACTTTGAAGTTCCTTACAACTAGTCGCTCCCTAGATCCAACTTCCCACAGGCTTACGTCCCCCACATTGGAAACAACTGAAGCATCACATAGAGAACAATCAACAGTCAATTATGAATAGTCTCTTTGAAGTTTCCCTCATCGAGAAACTGCAAGATCAGGAACACAAGCTCCATACTCAGAGACAACATCTTGACCGCCCCCTGTTTGATTCCAAGAAGCGGGTTGTTTGCAGGTGATGGTGCCTGCGCACAGTTCGGTTGTCCACATGGGTGATCCACATAAAGCGTTTTTATTAATGGATTTGGACTTGGGCTTTTACAAAGCCCGTGCTGCCAATTTAAGCTTCAATTTACAGGAGGAGAATTAGTTCTTTCTCAGCAGAACCAGAAAGGTCATAATTTGCACAAATAATAGTTCCTGGTGTGTGGAAACTTCTGACACTGGTCACGAACCAAAAAAAAAATCCTGACACCAGACGCTGGAATCAAGCAGTGATGTACAACCGTCACCAGGCCCCTGTGCTATGTAGCAATGAACCATATACTAAATTAAGATTCAGGCACATGATTTAGGCATTGCAACAATATTAAAGACTTATTTTTGTTTCCACAGAATTCAAGCCATAACCACCTTTTTATAGCCACATAGACAGTGTACGTAAACGATGAACTCATTAGCTAGTGCTATCAACTTGATGAAATTGTCATTTGAGTGCAACGGAAGACAAAAGCACTCATTCCATATGTGGAAAAATTAAAGCAAGACCAGTATTTGCAACATCCATAAGTTACGATGAAGTGCACATCTAATCTTATATAACTGAAGTCGTGGTTTCAGAGTAATTACCCTTGGTTAATGAGAGTCCATAGCCTCGAACGCTTTAGGTTTGGGAACTGCAATTTATCACTGAATAAGGGATTTGGGTCAATCAGTTTCTTAAGTTCAACCGACATGATTGCCCTGGCAGACTTTGAATCTCCACACTTGGATAGTTGTTCATTCTCCCCCTATAATGCAAGAGACCATTTTTTAGTACATTTGCTACAACTGTTTTCTACAGAGACTATTCATATAATGGAATTCTCATACCTAAAGTTCTCCAATGTTGAGAGCTGAGCGATTTCCTCCAAAAGTTCATCGAATGCGGCAAAAAAATTTCAATCCTTTACTAGAATATCCACGGCTTGGGACCGATCAGGCCTATAAAGTTCACAGAGTCACATTACACGTAATTCAACCATATAATTCCTCAAGACCGGCCATGCAATCCAACCCATGAAAGTTATCGATGAATTGAAATTGAACCACTGTAAGCTTACTTGTCCAATGCCTCAAGATACTTCTGCTTCCATTTTAGTGAACCCAGAGAGGTACTTCTCAACTTCATCCCAATTGCCATTATGCACCTCAACCTCAAAATATTTCATATTGAAGAAAACCCCAGATTCCTGCTCAGGCCTAATTAGTATATACATCACAAAAGCAATTAATGACGCAGTATATCAGTACATAATTAGCAATTGTGCCAACAAAAACGCATTAATTAAAACTACAGAAATCAGCCCTACCTGGTGAGATTTAAAATAGAAGCAGGCAGCTCCTTGATTGCAGTGCCATCCAAATAAAGCTCAGATAGATTATTCATAACCTCTGAAATTTCTGGAAACTTCTCAAGCTTTGAGCATATAGAAACATCAAGGTATTTAAGAGATTTCATGTCAGAAATGCTGCTTGGAAGACTCTCAAGTTCTCTGCAATCATTCAGCTTCAAAGTAACAAGACTGGTGAGATTTAAAATAGAAGCAGGCAGCTCCTTAATTGCAGTGCCACCCAAATAAAGCTCAGATAGATTATTCATAACCTCTGAAATTTCTGGAAACTTCTCAAGCTTTGAGCATCTAGAAACATCAAGGTATTTAAGAGATTTCATGTGAGAAATGCTGCTTGGAAGACTCTCAAGTTCTCTGCAATCATTCAGCTTCAAAGTAACAAGACTGGTGAGATTCAAAATAGAGGCAGGCAACTCCTTAATTGCAGTGCCATCCAAATAAAGCCCAGATAGATTCTTCATAACCTCTAAAATTTCTGGAAACTTCTCAAGCTTTGAGCATCCAGAAACATCAAGGTATTTAAGAGATTTCATGTGAGAAATGCTGCTTGGAAGACTCTCAAGTTCTCTGCAATCATTCAGCTTCAAAGTAACAAGACTGGTGAGATTTAAAATAGAGGCAGGCAGCTCCTTAATTGCAGTGCCATCCAAATGAAGCTTAGATAGATTCTTCATAACCTCTGAGATTTCTGGAAACTTCTCAAGCTTTGAGCATCCAGAAACATATAGGTATTTAAGAGATTTCATGTGAGAAATGCTGCTTGGAAGACTCTCAAGTTCTCTGCAATCATTCAGACTCAAAGTAACAAGACTGGTGAGATTAAAAATAGAAGCAGGCAGCTCCTTAATTGCAGTGCGACCCAAATAAAGCTCAGATAGATTATTCATAACCTCTGAAATTTCTGGAAACTTCTCAAGCTTTGAGCATCTAGAAACATCAAGGTATTTAAGAGATTTCATGTGAGAAATGCTGCTTGGAAGACTCTCAAGTTCTCTGCAATCATTCAGCTTCAAAGTAACAAGACTGGTGAGATTAAAAATAGAAGCAGGCAGCTCCTTAATTGCAATGCGACCCAAATAAAGCTCAGATAGATTATTCATAACCTCTGAAATTTCTGGAAACTTCTCAAGCTTTGAGCATCTAGAAACATCAAGGTATTTAAGAGATTTCATGTGAGAAATGCTGCTTGGAAGACTCTTAAGTTCTCTGCAATCATTCAGCTTCAAAGTAACAAGACTGGTGAGATTTAAAATAGAGGCAGGCAGCTCCTTAATTGCAGTGCCATCCAAATGAAGCTTAGATAGATTCTTCATAACCTCTGAGATTTCTGGAAACTTCTCAAGCTTTGAGCATCCATAAACATAAAGGTATTTAAGAGATTTCATGTGAGAAATGCTGCTTGGAAGACTCTCAAGTTCAGACTCAAAGTAACAAGATTGGTGAGATTTAAAATAGAAGCAGGCAGCTCCTTAATTGCAGTGTCATCCAAACAAAGCTCAGACAGCTTCTTCATAACCTTTGAAATTTCTGGAAACTTTTCAAGCTTTGAGCATTCAGAAACATCAAGGCTTTTAAGAGATTTCATGTGAGAAATACGCCTCGGAAGACTCTTAAATTGTTTGCAACCTTTTAGATTCAAGGTAACAAGCCTCGTAAGATTACTTATTGATGACGGCAGTTCTTTAATTTCGGTATAATCTAAATAAAGCTCTGATAGATCTTGCATAACATCTGAAACTTCGGGAAACTTATCGAGGTTTTCGCACCATGAAAGTTTAAGGGTTCTAAGAGATTTCATACCAATCTTGCTTGGAAAAATCTTAAGATTTCTGCAATATTCCAAATCCAAAAGAACCAGGTTTTTGAGAGATGAAATGGATGGGTGAACCTCAAATAAACTTGTACAACTTCGAAAAACTACTTTCTCAAGATTTTTCGCCTCCGTGAAGTCAGGAGTTTTCTTCAGGTGAGGAGAACTTGTTAAGTTGATAATTTTCAAATTTTCCAAAGGCTGGTATAACACATCGAAGAAAGCAAGTTATATGGTAACAAGGCATCTAAGAATTAAACCATTTAAAAGAAACATACGCAAGTGAAGTTTTTACCTTGGCTCCTTCCCAAAGATGTTCAATGAGACTATTTTGCATGTCAAGCTCAACAAGATTCTTTGCAATAAAATTGGACGGTAAAGACTTTAGGGGGAAATGCTTCCATACGAGACTTCTTAACTCATGCAGAAGAAACTTTAAATTCTCTCATGAATATCCATTGTGGGCGTGGATTTTGAGCAATCTTAATTTCGTCATTTTAACAAAAGCTTCGGAACTGAAGTATGCCACTTTTGGTTTTGAGAATGAAAGGTCAAGGATTATGCTTTCAACAGCTTCCGTAGCCTGGATAACAAATAGTTCAAATTATGTGACTGTAGATATCCTGAATCTTATTTAACATTATAAAAAGTTAATGCATATTTCTATGAATTGTATTTTGATCAAAGTTAAAGCTGTTTACTCTAAATATTTACATATGAAAAAGAAGGTCATGAACATATCGCACCGTATTTTGAGTTAGCACTTGATGAACATCTTCATAATTCCACAACCTACTGCGTTTCCCAGGCTCTTTAATAGATTCTTGGCGGACGATTTCTCGACCCATTTCCTCTAGTAAATCATGCATCTTCAGTGTTTCCCGTGAGACAGTTATAAGAGCTCGATCAATTAGAACTCTTAGCCCAGTATGGGGATAAAAGCCACAACTGTCCAGAACCTTTGTTGCGTTGTCTTTTTCCGCTCCTTTAAAGAAACATGCAATATCCAGAAATATGTCCTTCTCAGAATCATCTAGTCCATCGAAGCTTGTTCTTAACACATCATGAATTCCCCTTTGCGGGATTTTCTTTAATTTCTCTAGCACCTCCTCCCACTCCTGCACAGATTTGTTATAAAGAAATGCCCCCAAGACTTTAAGTGCTAAAGGGAGACCTTGAGCATATCGTACAGCACGGCTTGAGAGAGGGTCATAGTCTCTTTTGGGATGCTTTGTTCTAAAGGCATACTGGCTAAAGAGTTCCATAGCTCCATCACCACTTAGAACCTTGGGGCTGTAGATCGCATCAGCTCGACTTAGTACTAGCTTATCTCTAGTGGTGATAATGATTCTACTCCCACCACCAAATGAATGTTGCTTTCCAAGTAAGGTTTCAATTTGAAATAAGTCAGTCAACGTCATCAAGAACAATCAAAACCTTTTTCATCTGTAGCCTTTTCAAAATCATTCTGTAACCTCGATCCAATGTGCCTAAACTCTGCACCCTTTCATTCAAGATTCTAGATAGAAGTTTTTCCTGCAAATGTACGGCACGACAAGCGGAGAACTCTTCCTTGACATTGTCAAGAAAGCAACAAGCTTCAAATTGACAAGCAATTTTCTCATAAACGGCTCTAGCTATGGTGGTTTTGCCTATACCACCCATACCCCATATTCCAACAACACGAACGTCGTCCATTTCAGGAGCAGGATGTAATAGCAAGTCCATTTCATGCATGTGGGAATCCATTTCAACAAAGTCATCGTCTTTACTTGATGAGATGCGGATCAATTTCTGAAAAATATCTTCTACAATTTCCTCAATGAGCTTGGCATCATCCCTGTGGAATAAGAAAAACATTATTGTAAGAGTAAGATCAAGAGCAAGCGCAAACCGTATACATAGTCATACATTTTTCGAATCTCAGCCGGTTAAATTGGAAAACATGACAAAGAATTAAAACTAAACGTTAAAATAAAAAAATAAAAAAATCCCAAATTATGAAACTACTATAGCTAAAAATTACTCGCAATTTTTCGAATCCCAGCCGGTTAAATTGGTGGCTCGAGTAAGAGCGGACCTCCAGCTCCGCACCTCTTCCATGTCGGCGTTAGAATGGCCTTCATGCTTGGCAAAAGCTTCCGCAAAGCTGCTCTCTGCTTTGCGGACATGAGAAGGATCCACTTCGTAAAAAACGGGCACCACCATCTGGTTCTTTCTATCCATACAATCCAGTATTTGGACGAGCTCCTTCAAGCACCATGTGGAAGAAGCATATTTTTGAGAAAAAAACTACGATTGAAACGCGCGAATCTTGGATCGCCGTCAGTAGCTGCGAAAGGTCGTTGCCCTTTCGCAGCCCTTCGGCATCAATGAAGGTGCTGATTGCTTTCTGATTCAGGGCTTTGTAGAGGTGGCTGACGAAGCACCTGCGAGTGTCTTCCCCTCTGAAATTGAGGAACACGTCGTATTTCCAAGGAGAGCCAGAGGAAGAAGAAGATGCAGCCGCAGCCATTAATCAATGGAGTCTCTAAGAGTAATGTATGAACTGAAACACTCAATTGATCTTCACACTGATCTTCGCATTGAGCTACAAAGGAAGTAATGAGTCAATGACGACCACATCACGCGTTTCTATTCTCTAGGTGCAGTTTCTATTTTCTAGGTGCATGTCTTTATTACCTTTTAGAAAAATGAAGAAAGGGACTATCAAGTTTGAAAATATGGATTATTGAAATTTAATTCGACTCACCTGAAAGCATTTATTTTAAAAATTATAATAAATTTAACTATTCAACTAAATATTAATGGTTCAGATTCTCGATAAATTAAAATCAAAGAATCCTAAAATAATCCAACAAAGGAAAAGTATAAAAATTATAAAGTATCAAAAATTGGTGGACAAAGATTTGCTATGCATGGGCGAGTGGATGCAACGTGCAAAAGAAAACAACGACAAGTGGGTCCTAAGTCCTAACAGTACAACTGGGGCACACATCACAAGGGGTAATGTCCCAGGATGCTATTCAAGAGTCTAAATAAATCTCATGACGTTGGAGCTCTTCAATTATATTCAGTGGGACCAGTGCCCATGTGACACACTGTGAGGCAATGCAAACCAGGCCATTTGGAAACCGACTTCTTCAATCCTTTGGGCCTGAACACAATTGGCCCTAGACGGACTTAGTTGTGTCTAAAAAGGAGACTAACGCAATAAATTTCACGGGCATATATACTTGAGAGTTAACATGGTTATTTCTTGGCAAATATCATATTGACCATATTGTAAGAAGTTCAATACTTTTGTCGTTGTCATTAGGCAGCAACATGCCTACAGTTACATCTATTATGATATCTTAAGGAAACTGTTATTAGCACTTTAAGAATCTTATTTTACACTTCCTACAAGTCTATTCTTCTTTCTAATTATAAAAAGTTCGGAATGCAAAATAAAACTTTTAAAGAGCCTATAACAATTCCCTATCTTAATACTGAGTGGCCCTAATGAACCTATATTGGTGTTTTATATTCTTGGAAGCGTACAACAAATTCTTTGCATAAAATGGAAATATTATACTTCTCCTTTCTTATATTGAGATAAGTAGTATTGTCATATGGAAGACAATGAAACCAACGGTTTTGTGTTCTATGCAAAATACGAGATGTACATACCATGCCACAGATAATGTATCTTCTATTTTTTTTCGTAGATCGAGCTGATATGATATTTAGTGTGAGAAATTAAGTGAATTTAAATCAGTTTCGAATAGAAGAGAAGCATGCTATAAGAAAGCATTCATTTCTAGATTGTATTGTGTCATCAGTATTATACTCATAGTTTCAACTGATCAGCTTACTACATGGGGAAAAACACAAAAAAGGGAAAACAGAAAAGTAGAAGACATAATATTTGAGCATGTAACAGGAATAGTAAGTTTTTGAAAAAATTGCTAGACCGAGAAATTAAATCGTTAAACATCACACAGTGACCCAATATAAAGATATAGTTTGTTTACAAATCAAAACGAAGCGGTATCAAAGGAAAATGTTTAAGATGTTGAAAATACAAAACTGGACTAGGCAACCATATGTTTTTTCCGTAACTAAATGAATAATTTGGAATGATACAAACCCCTATCCTGGCTCACTGGCTCCTCCCATCCTCAACTCTGTATGTCAAAGGCTGAGTAGCCATGTATGCAAAAGTTGGGAAATGATCACCATCTGAAGATTGAGAATAACCCACATTCACAGTGCTCAAATTTTTATAGAAAATAGGACAAATTAACATATTTAAAGTATGTATTAGGATGAAAACGTTCTTAAGATAAATTAAGCAGAAAGGAAAGCAGGTAGGCCTCCAATGGCATTTCTAATCACCAAGACAAACTTCTGGGCACCATGTGGTTGAACCCAAAATCGTCAAAAAGATACTCATCCAGCTGTTTCTTAATTTCTTGAATTTCCTAAGTAAGTTTTCCTTGTTGATGATATTTCTCTATCAATAGGGAAAAAAAAAATTAGAGTAGTGTAAAGACACTCCAATCAGGTCCACGATGCTTCAATCTATCAAATCCATTCGTATAGATTGATTATCTGATTGGTATTGAAAAGGAACCAAAACCCCCCAAATTTTTGAAATTTCGGGTAGGATGAATCGCTGACCTTCAGAAAAGCAGGGGAACGCGGGTGGTGGGACGTGATTCGTCAGATTGGAGAGCAAGAGAAGGCTCTCCCCTGCGTTTTCCCTGCATTCCATCTCCATCATCAAATTGAAGTTCATTTCTATTGATTTCAGCTAAAAATAATAAAAATGAATAAACATTCTAAAAATTAAAGTAAACTTCAAGTTGCAGATAGTTTGACTTGAAGAGCTACAGCTGAAGCTAGGTAGGCTTACAGTGGGGGAATCAAAAGGATAAAGACACTGCAATTTTCAGTTTCATACCAAAGGATAGACAAAGCAGGATAGCATGCTGCGAACGAATTGTTCAATCCAGCTGAAAGGAAAAGTTGCAGGACAAAGATATTCACCTATTAATTTAGATCAAATAACCATATATCTTCACATCATCACCAAAAGAGTTATTAAAGGAATGATAACCATGAAAGGTCATAGGCATTCTATCAACAACATAAATTTACCAAGTTCACAACTCTGATCAAATCCGTTAAGAAAATTTACCAAATCAAAAGTTCATACAACGAAATTTGACTTCAAGCCCAATTCTTCATTTTGAAAATTGAATGCATATGAGTTTTCTAAGAAACACAAATTTTGTTTTTGTTTTAATCAGTAGATTCATGCCAAGCTTGCAAAATTACCTGCGCCACAAATTCTTGTTCTACACCGGTGCCCACAACAGCTTCTTACTCAGCTGTAGCTTTCCATCTTGCAATTTCTTCTTCACGAGAGCAATTGTGCATCATTAGCCTTCTAAGCTACACACATAACGCCATGAGTCTTCCAATTGTTTCGATTTAATTTAAAATAAATCAATTTAAGTTCCTAGTATAACATATCCATGCTACACGATCAGCACCTTATTTTAGTAAAACAAACACAAAAGATGGTAGAAATTGATATAATTATTGTGGCCAGCTAATTTTGCAAATTGACATAATTATTGCAAATTGGAAAAACAGGTTGGTGCCAGCAATTACTAATGCAATAGTTGTGGCAACCGCTAGAAAATGTGAATGAAATTTCTCAACATTTGAGCATCCAGAATCATCAAGATTTTCAAGAGATTTCATGTGAGAAATGATGCTTGGAAAACTCTCAAGTTCTATGCAGATAGTTTATTCAAGACCTCTGAATTTTCCGAAAACGTCTCAAGATTTGAGCATCCAGAAACATAAAGGTATTGAAGAGATTTCATATGACAAATTCTGCTTGGAAGACTCTCAAGTTCTCTGCAATCATTCAGCATCAAAGTAACAGGACTCAGGAGATTTAAAACTGACGCAGGCAGTTCCTTAATTGCAGTGCCACCGAAATAAAGCTCAGATAGCATATTCATAACCTGTGAAATTTCTGGAAACTTCTCAAGATTTGAGCATCCAGAAATATCAAGGTATTGAAGAGATTTCATTTGACAAATACTACTTGGAAGACTCTCAAGTTCTCTGCAATCATTCAGCCTTAGACTAACAAGATTGGTGAGATTTAAAACTGACGCAGGCAGTTCCTTAATTGCAATGCCACCAAAATAAAGCTCATATAGCTTATTCATAACCTCTGAATTTTCTAGAAACTTCTCAAGGTTTGAGCATCCAGAAACGTCAAGGTATTGAAGAGATTTCATGTGACAAATGCTGCTTGGAAGACTCTCAAGTTCTCTACAATCATTCAACTTCAAAGTAACAAGATTGATGAGATTTAAAACTGACGGAGGCAGTTCCTTAATTGCAGTGCCACCTAAATAAAGCTTAGATAGCTTATTCATAACCTTTGAAATTTCTGGAAACTTCTCAAGATTTGAGCATCTAGAAATATCAAGGTATTGAAGAGATTTCATTTGACAAATGCTGCTTGGAAGACTCTCAAGTTCTTTGCAATCATTCAGGCTCAGAGTAACCAGATTGGTGAGATTTAAAACTGATGCAGGCAGTTCCTTAATTGTGGTGCGACCCAAATAGAGCCCAGATAGCTTATTCTTAACCTCTGGAATTTTTGGAAACTTCTCAAGCTTCGAGCATCCAAAAACATCAAGGCATTGAAGAGATTTCTTGTGAGAGATGCTGCTTGGAAGATTCTCAAATTTTCTGCAACCTTTTATATTCAAGACAACAAGCCCAATAAGATTACTAATTGACGAGGGCAGTTATTTAATTCCAGTATTATTTAAATAAATCTCTGATAGATACTGCAGAACACCTGAAATTTCGAGAAACTTATTGAGGCTGCCGTACCATGAAAGTTTAAGGGTTCTAAGAGATTTCATACCAATCCTACTTGGAAAAATCTTAAGATTTCTGCAATTTTCGAAATCCAAAAGAACCAGGTTGTCGAGAGACGAAATGGATGGGTGAACCTCAAGTAAACTTGTACATCTTCGAAAAACTACTTTCTCAAGATTTTTTGCCTCCGTGAAGTCAGGATTTTTCTTCAGGTGAGGAGATCTTGTTAAGTTGATAATTTTCAAATTTTCCAGAGGTTGTTATAACACATCCAGGAAAACAAGTCATGTGGTAACTCATGCGAAAGAAACTTTAAATTCTCACACGAATTTACACCGTCACCATGGATTTTGAGCAATCTTAGTTTCGTCATTTTAAAAAAATCTTCGGACCTTAAGTATACCACTTTTAGCTTTGAGAATGAAAGGTCAAGGATTATGCTTTCAACAACTTCCGAAGCCTGGATAACAAATAGTTCAAATTATGTGAATGTAGATATCATGAATCTTATTTAACATTATAAAGTTAATGCATGTTTCTAAGAATTATATTTTGGTCAAAGTTAAATTTGTTTACTCTAAAGATTTACATATGAAAAAGACAGGTCATGAACATATCGCACCGTATTTTGAATTAACACATGATGAACATCTTCATAATTCCACAACCTATTGCGTTTCTCAGGCACTTTAATAGATTCTTCGCGAACGATTTCGCGACCCATTTCGTCTAGTAATCATGCATCTCTAGTGTTTCCGAAGAGACAGTTATAAGAGCTCGATCAATTAGAACTCTTATCCCAGTATGGGGATAAAAGCCACAACTGTCAAGAATCTTTGTTGCGTAGTCTTTTCTGGCTCCTTTAAAGAAACATGCAATATCCAGAAATATGTCCTTCTCAGAATCATCCAGTCCATCGAAGCTTGTTCTTAGCACATCATGAATTCCCCTTTGCGGGATTTTCTTTAATTTCTTTAGCACCTCTCCCCACTCTTGTACAGATTTGTTATAAAGAAAAGCTCCCAAGACTTTAAGTGCTAAAGGGAGACCTTGAGCATATCGTGCAGCACGGCTTGAGAGATGGTCATAGTGTATTTTGGGTTGCCTTGTTCTGAAGGCATACTGGCTAAAGAGTTCCAAAGCTCCATCACCACTTAGAACCTTGGGGCTGTAGATCGCATCAGCTCGACGTAGTACTAGCTTATCTCTAGTGGTGATAATTATTAAGAAAATATTACTTAAGGCGAGTGATACCATATTAAGAAAATATTTCTCATTAACACTGAATAACTTTACACTATGGGTATTTATACAAGTCTATCACAGCTAGCAAAGAAAGGATAACAGATTGAGCAGACTAAAGATTTCTTAATCTCTAAGTATTGTCTCTTTTGGTGTAATTACATTTGTATCCTTAATAATAATGACTCTAGTACTCCCACCACCAAATGAACGTTGCTTTCCAAGTAAGGTTTCAATTTGAAATAAGTCGTCAACATCATCAAGAACAATCAAAACCCTTTTCATCTGTAGCCTTTTCAAAATCATTCTGTAACCTCGATCCAATGTGCCTAAACTCTGCACCTTTTCATTCAAGATTCTAGAGAGAAATTTTTCCTGCATATGTACGGCACCACAAGTGGAGAACTCTTCCTTGACATTGTCAAGAAAGCAACAAGCTTCAAATTGACAAGCAATTTCCTTATAAACAGCTCTAGCTATGGTGGTTTTGCCTATACCACCCATACCCCATATTCCAACAACACGAATGTCGTCCATTTCAGGAGCAGGATGTAATAGCAAGTCCATTTCATGCATGTGGGAATCCATTTCAACCAAGTCATCGTCTTTACTTGATGAGGCGCGGATCAATTTCTGAAAAATATCTTTTACAATTTCCTCAATGAGCTTGGCATCATCCCTGTGGAATAAGAAAAACATTATTGTAAGAGTAAGATCAAGAGCAATTGCAAACCGTATACATAGTCATACATTTGCTAGGAAAACATGACAAAGAATTAATAATAAACGTTAAAAAAAAAAAAAAAATCCCAAATTACGAAACTACAATAACTAAATATTACTCGTAATTTTTCGAATCCCACCCGGATAAATTGGTGGCTCAACTAAGAGCGGACCTCCACCTCCGCACCTCTTCCATGTCAGTGTTAGAATGGCCTTTATGCTCGGCAAAAGCTTCCTCAAAGCTCCTCTTTGCTTTGCGGACATCAGAAGGATCCACTTGGTAAAAAACGGGCACAACCATCTGGTTCTTTCCATCCATACATTCCAATATTTGAACGAGCTCCTTCAAGCACCATGTGGAAGAAGCATAGTTTTGAGAAAAAAAACTACGATTGAAACGCTTGAATCTTACTTGAGAGTTAACATGGTCATTTCTTTGCAAATACCAAATTGACCATATTGTATGAAGTTCAATACATTTGTCTTTGTCATTAGGCGGCAACTTGCCAACAGGTTACATCTATTACATGCCTACAGGTTATATCTATTATGATATCTTAATACTGAGTTTCCCTAATGGACTTATATTGGTGTTTTATTGTTCTACGCAAAATACGACATGTACATACTATGCCACAGATAATTTCTCTTCTATTTTCTTTGTGTAGGCATATGATACTTAGTATGAGAAATTAAATAAATTTAACTGAAAATATGACTTTAGTCCCTGAAACTTAATTTTTTCCAGATAAAACCCAACATAAGTTTTTTACTAGAATAAAACTCATTGACTAGATTCCATATCAGGAAATTCATTAATTATATTTGACATTAGACATTTAAAAAATTTTGATGCCCAAAACACCCCTATTTGAATGTTTGATCTACACAATTAATTCCATACAAATTGTAAGGGAGAATTAATGATTTTACAAAAAAAAAAAAAATATTAAATTCATTGCATAATATATAATAACAATAAAACATGCCTAATAAATGTAGTAATACATACTTAGTTAAGTCAATAAAATTATGTTTTACATATAAATGTAGCTAAATTATTTCACAAACACACATATATATATTACATATAAATGTAGGTAAATTTTTTCTTTGAATGGTAATTGTCCTTTTGGAAGTCAACCCGTTTGTGAAATGCAAGGGCAAGGCATTATTCAAAAATGTTTATTTATTTATTTTTATACTTTGATGAGTTTGTTTCATGAAAATAAAATGATTATCTGATTTCTATAATATATTTCAAATACAAGGAATGAAGATGATGGTTGGTACTTATAGAAAAAAAAAATAGGGTTTTTTTTTTGGTATTTTTTTAGTTTTTGGGTATATTTTTTGAATTTTTTTATGTCACTTCCCAGACTGGCTCCGCCGTAGCATGATATTGTCCGCTTTGGGCTTACCATTCCCTCACGGTTTTGTTTCTGGGAACTCACGGGCAACTTCCTAGTGGGTCACCTATCCTAGGATTGCTCTGGCCTAATCTTGCTTAACTTCGGAGATCCGATTGAACCCGAAGCCAATGAGTTCCTAGAAGGCCTTGTACTATAGGGAGGGGACTATGTACATATAAGGCATACCATCCCCTCTACGTTGGTCGATGTGGGATCTTACAATCCTTTGGTATCAGAGCCACTTTGCCGTTCGGTGCAGATGTGTCGGCGAGGACATTGGTTCCCTTTAAGTGGGATGGATTGTAAGATCCCACATCGACCAACGGAGAAGGGGTGATGCACCTTATATGTACATGCTCCCCACCCTATAGCACGAGGCCTTTTGGGAGCACACTGGCTTCAGATTCCATGGGAACTTCGAAGTTAAGCAAGTTTGGGGGAGAGCAATCCTAGGATGGGTGATCCACTGGGAAGTTCTCACGTAAATTCCTAGAAACAAAATCGTGAGGGTATGGTCGAGGCCAAAGCAGACAATATCGCGCTATAACGGAGCCATCTGAGATGTGACATTTTACCTTTAGAATAATCTTGGCCGTTTAAAATCCAAATTATTTATATTAGATGCCCCATATTGTGCTGCTTAAAATTTTGCAACTTTTTTTATTATTGGAAATCCAACAGCACAAGTTGGAGGAAAAATGAATCATTTGGCTCTGGGCTGTGCATATGGGTGGCCCCATTATGTCATCTCCTGTAGCTAGCGAGCGTAAGCTCAGACAAAAGTTGCAGGGGCAGCTGAAAGAGGACAAGCCCTTGGTCCAATTGCCCTCCATTTTTTGCATCAGTGGACCACCTTTTTGCAGCCAAAGGCAATTCAACCCAATTGCCTTATCACTTGGGCAACCGGTGGACTTGCTCTTAAGAGGGCAAGGGCAAGGGCACGTAAATTGCCCTTTAAAAAGTGATTACCTTTGTGTAAGTCCACCCGTTGAGTTAAAGGCAAGGACAAGGACGATTCATATTTACAAATGTGGTTTTTTTTTTTTTAATTTTAAAGCATAATTATGTGATTTAATAACTAGCGGACGCGTTAGATTTTTTATATGGTAGTGAAGAAGATGGTTGAATGTTTATAGAAAAATATATATTATTTTTTCATTTTTAAATATATTTATTTCTGAATTTTCATTAATTTCTCTAATTTTTAAAACCTTTATTCGAAATTTTAAATTATTAAAAAAAATTGAACAAGATTAATTTTTGCGGTTGAATCTTGAGACCATTTCAAATCCAACTGCCCATAAAAAGCCACGTGTATAGTTGTTGGGAAGCTGAGTTGCTTTGACAACTTGGGGGTCCATGATAGCAGCAATAGTCAACCCACTATCTCCCATCACGCATCAAACACAAAAAATAAAATAAAAATGAATGTGGCTGACACCGTGTTGATGTCAACCTTACCCACTAGCAGAAAGCCGAGCTCAAGCTACTAAAGCTTTTGGACAGGCATGTGTTGGCCCACCAATTGCCCTCCACCAAATGGACTGCTGGACGTGGTTTTTTGGAGGACAAGAGCAAGGCAAGTGCAGGGGCTCTAAAGCTGCTTACAAATTTTATAACTATAAGATCGTGAAAACATACTATAGGCAAGCAACTTGCACATGATGAGTTAACATTCATATATTCACAAAAGGTGTCTTTCTTGCAGAGTTGAGGTTGCACACTCTAGCTTGCAAGACCAAAATGTGTTAATATGGAGAGCAACTTGCACAGGTTGAGTTCAATGTCACGTGAAGTCTCGATCCAATAATATCATGTCACGTAGAAAAAAACTTAAACTTGGTATAACATTATTGAACTAGGATGTCCGGTAACGGTAATCTGTTCCCAATTAATATTTCTTGTTAATAATGGGGGATTTGGGTATGGTAAGACATTATTGTACTAGACGCCTCGGTAATCCTGTTCCCAATTAATACTTCTCATTAATATGAGGGATTTGGATTTGGTAGTTAGAGTCAGAGTGTACATGTACAGACACATTGATGCATTCATGTACCACTGCACTATAATGACTTCAAGAACAAGCATTAAGTTGTGAACTGAATTAATAACGATTGAGTTGGACTGAGCATTTAATTCTTCGAGCACTTAATTGGTTTGCTAGTCTACCTTCTTCTTGCTGGTCCATAAACTGGAGCTGGGCTGAGTGATCTGCTGACAACTTTAAAGCTTAGAAGCAGATCCTCAAGCTTTTGATGAACTTCAAAAAATGGCTTCTTTTCACCAGAAAATTCATGACTTCTCTTCAAATACACATCTTAAAGCTCCCCATTTTCTAGTAGTTGTTCCGAAGTCTATTTGTACACAGACCAAAATTGTGAGTACCTCTCTCTCTCTAACTGTAGTCTGTACCTGCTTACATTTATGCATGTACTCGTATTTAATGTCCGTGCTTGATTTCGGAGATTAGTTTGAAACAAAAAACGAAATGGTTATCAAATGTTCCTTATTTTTTTTAGTTCTCAAAATTTAGCTTTTAAGTTGTTAGTTTTTGGTTTTCTGAAAGCTGAAAATGAAATGGTTATCAAGCGGCACCAAAGTATTTAACCCCTCTCACAATGAAGAGTCGGACAAAATGGGATTTGATGCAGTTAATGTACCCATATGTTTCATAGCGACAAAGATCAGATAATTGTTTTCACTATACGAACAGTTTCGTGATAAGTTTTGTTTTGTGCAGAGGATTCCAAACAATTTTTTAGGAAATATGGAGATGATCTTTTGAATCCAGTATTTCTTAAGCTTCCAACTGGTTCAGAGTGGAAAATAGAACTCAGAATATGGGAGGGTGACGTCTGGTTCGGCGAGGGTTGGCCAAATTTCTCGAAGTTTTACTCTCTAGACTGCTGTCATTCGTTAGTTTTCGGATATGAAGGGAATTCAACATTCCGCGTTCGTGTATTTGACAAGGATTTCACAGAGATCAACTATCCATTGACAATGCCCGAGATGGAAGAAACCGATGAAGGTGATGATTCCCACAAAAGTTCTTGGGATGATGATGACGACTCTGATTGTGTTGAAGTCTTGGACAACATCATATCCCGCTCAAGAAAAACAAGGGACAAATCTCCATTGTCATGTCCTCGGCCTCATATGAAGCACAGAACAGGTTCAACTGGTAAAACCAGAAACCAAAAAAATACTCTAATTACATAAGGAAATGATGTTTGAGAAAATAAAATCTAAATCAGAAATAAAAATTGAACATTAATACGCAACATATGTTTCGCTTCCAATTTTTTACCTTACTGTGCTTTCTGCCATTCTGTTCTAACTTGTAATATCCTACCGTGTCCTTTTACATGCAAAGCTGAGTTTGCATCCAAAAGACACGGTGAAGGCACGTCCAGCACTCCAAAACGTGCTCAAACAGTTCTTGGGAGGATGCATGCATCGAAAGCAAGAGGAAAAGCTGTTGTAGCTCTTCGGAGAGCTACAGCTTTCAAATCTGACAACCCTTCTTTCATAGTTCCCATGAAGCGCACTTATATCAATGGACATTCTGTGGTAAGTTCTCTATAGACAACCATCCTGGACCGTCAAACTTGTTTGCTTATCGTCTTTTCCTTCATTTGATTATTTTCAGTGGCTGCCTTCAAAATTGTGTATCCACATGAGACGTCTTGGTAAAAGCATTCTGGTGCCGTTACCCTTCAGGTTTTTGATGGGAGAACTTGGTCTGTTGAAATGAAATGTGAAAAGGCAACCAGACCAAAACTCAGATTGCAGTATGGTTGGACTGAATTTGTAAGAGGCAATAATTTGGAAGTTGGTGATGTGTGCGTACTTGTGTTGATCGATGACACTAAACTTGTGTTTGAAGTTGTCATTTTTCGCGCCACAGAAACTGCACATACATTCTCACCACCAGGTACGTTGTCTTTTAATTTCTAAACTGATTAATTGATGGAAGTGCCATAGAGATTAACTATCCATCACGTTCATCTTTTGTGATGTGCCTGCAGATGTTGACTGGGAACAAACGATGTCCCAAATGGAAGAAACTGATGAAGATGATGATTCCATTGAAATCTTGGACGTTTTTCCAACATGCTAGAAAACAAAAAAGAAATCACCAATAGCACCAGTCTCACAAGAAAAACAGAACATGTTCAGTTAGCACAGCAGAAAACCACATAAAGAAATTTGGTGGCTCGTCTTTGACTAAAAAAATAATGAACCGAAGAACTCTTCAAGTTCTTAGGAAGATGAACCCAGTTACGGCACATGGTACAAATAGAGCCCTTCAGGGAGCAAAGGCTTTCAAATCTGAATACCCTTCTTGCACAGTTGTTATGAGTCCCTCGTATATCCATGCACATTATGTTGTAAGCTTTTTATGGAGAGATATAATGTACAAGTTCTGCTAATTTTATGTCTACATATATGTGCGTGTTAGTTTTGAAACTGAAAATTAAGCTCAAGCAAATTACAATGCAAATCCTCTCCAAATTACCCGATTCTCTTTCTTTTCAGTATTTGGGAGCCAAGTTTACCGAGGAACACTTTCTTAAGCGGAATTATCATCAAGTAATCCTTCGTGTTTCGGATGGAATAACTTGTATGGAATAACTTGGATGGAATAACTTGTATGGAATAACAATTTTGACGGTTTGGATCGTTGAAATTAGTTTTGGAGAATTCGTAAAACGATAGATTGACTAACACTTAGAGTTTATTTATACTTTCATTAAGTATAACATAAGATTTTGTGGTATCCACTTGTGTAAACATGTTAAATTGAATATCGAATTCATTCATTGTATTCATATAGGGTCAGGGAGTGTAGTTATAAAAAATCATCAAACTCGGAGTTAAAATAACCGTTAAATCGTGATTTTTCGTTTATAACCGTTGAAAAGCTTTGTCCCGTTACTTGATCTCTGAATGTTTTTTTTTTGTGATTTTTTGCTGATGTGATCTCCAAGCATATACAAATAATTTTGACGGTTTGGATAGTTGAAATTAGTTTTGGAGAATTCGTAAAACGATAGATTGACTAACACTTAGAGTTTATTTATACTTTTATTAAGTATAACATAAGATTTTGTGGTATTCACTTGTGTAAATATTTTAAATTGAAGATCGAATTCATTCATTGTATTCATATAGGGTCAAGGAGTGTAGTTATAAAAAATCATCAAAATCGGAGTTAAAATAACCGTTAAATCGTGATTTTTCGTTTATAACCGTTGAAAAGCTTTGTCCCGTTACTTGATCTCTGAATGTTTTTTTTTTGTGATTTTTGCTGATGCGATCTCCAAGCATATACAAACAATTTTGACGGTTTGGATCGTTGAAATTAGTTTTGGAGAATTCGTAAAACGATAGATTGACTAACACTTAGAGTTTATTTATACTTTTATTAAGTATAACATAAGATTTTGTGGTATTCACTTGTGTAAATATTTTAAATTGAAGATCGAATTCATTCATTGTATTCATATAGGGTCAAGGAGTGTAGTTATAAAAAATCATCAAAATCGAAGTTAAAATAACCGTCAAATCGTGATTTTTCGTTTATAACCGTTGAAAAGCTTTGTCCTGTTACTTGATCTCTGAATGTTTTTTTTTTTGTGATTTTTTTGCTGATGTGATCTACAAGCATATATACAAACAATTTTGACGGTTTGGATCGTTGAAATTAATTTTGGGGAATTCGTAAAACGATAGATGGACTAACACTTAGAGTTTATTTATACTTTCATTAAGTATAACATAAGATTTTGTGGTATTCACTCGTGCAAATATTTTAAATTGAAGATCGAATTCATTCATTGTATTCATATAGGGTCAAGGAGTGTAGTTATAAAAAATCATCAAAATCGGAGTTAAAATAACCGTTAAATCGTGATTTTTTGTTTATAACCGTTGAAAAGCTTTATCACGTTACTTGATCTCTGAATGTTTTTTTTTTGTGATTTTTTGTTGATGTGATCTCCAAGCATATACAAACAATTTTGACGGTTTGGATCGTTGAAATTAATTTTGGGGAATTCGTAAAACGATAGATTGACTAACACTTAGAGTTTATTCATACTTTCATTAAGTATAACATAAGATTTTGTGGTATCCACTTGTGTAAATATTTTAAATTGAAGATCGAATTCATTCATTGTATTCATATAGGGTCAAGGAGTGTAGTTATAAAAAATCATCAAAATCGGAGTTAAATAACCGTTAAATCGTGATTTTTCGTTTATAACCGTTGAAAAGCTTTATCACGTTACTTGATCTCTGAATGTTTTTTTTTTTGTGATTTTTTGTTGATGTGATATCCAAGCATATACAAACAATTTTGACGGTTTGGATCGTTGAAATTAGTTTTGGAGAATTCGTAAAACGATAGATTGACTAACACTTAGAGTTTATTTATACTTTTATTAAGTATAACATAAGATTTTGTGGTATTCACTTGTGTAAATATTTTAAATTGAAGATCGAATTCATTCATTGTATTCATATAGGGTCAAGGAGTGTAGTTATAAAAAATCATCAAAATCGGAGTTAAAATAACCGTCAAATCATGATTTTTCGTTTATAACCGTTGAAAAGCTTTGTCACGTTACTTGATCTCTGAATGTTTTTTTTTTGTGATTTTTTGTTGATGTGATCTCCAAGCATATACAAACAATTTTGACGGTTTGGATCGTTGAAATTAATTTTGGGGAATTCGTAAAACAATAGATTGACTAACACTTAGAGTTTATTTATACTTTCATTAAGTATAACATAAGATTTTGTGGTATCCACTTGTGTAAATATTTTAAATTGAAGATCGAAATCATTCATTGTATTCATATAGGGTCAAGGAGTGTAGTTATAAAAAATCATCAAAATCAGAGTTAAAATAACCGTTAAATCGTGATTTTTCGTTTATAACCGTTGAAAAGCTTTGTCACGTTACTTGAACTCTGAATGTTTTTTTTTTGTGATTTTTTGCTGATGTGATCTCCAAGCATATACAAACAATTTTGACGGTTTGGATCGTTGAAATTAGTTTTGGAGAATTCGTAAAACGATAGATTGACTAACACTTAGAGTTTATTTATACTTTTATTAAGTATAACATAAGATTTTGTGGTATTCACTTGTGTAAATATTTTAAATTGAAGATCGAATTCTTTCATTGTATTCATATAGGGTCAAGGAGTGTAGTTATAAAAAATCATCAAAATCGGAGTTAAAATAACCGTCAAATCGTGATTTTTCGTTTGTAACCGTTGAAAAGCATTGTCCCGTTACTTGATCTCTGAATGTTTTTTTTTTTGTCATTTTTTGCTGATGTGATCTCCAAGCATATACAAACAATTTTGACGGTTTGGATCGTTGAAATTAATTTTTGGGAATTCGTAAAACGATAGATTGACTAACACTTTGAGTTTATTTATACTTTCATTAAGTATAACATAAGATTTTGTGGTATCCACTTGTGTAAATATTTTAAATTGAAGATCGAATTCATTCATTGTATTCATATAGGGTCAAGGAGTGTAGTTATAAAAAATCACCAAAATCGGAGTTAAAATAACCGTTAAATCGTGATTTTTCGTTTATAACCGTTGAAAAGCTTTGTCCCGTTACTTGATCTCTGAATGTTTTTTTTTTGTGATTTTTTGCTGATGTGATCTCCAAGCATATACAAATAATTTTGACGGTTTGGATAGTTGAAATTAGTTTTGGAGAATTCGTAAAACGATAGATTGACTAACACTTAGAGTTTATTTATACTTTTATTAAGTATAACATAAGATTTTGTGGTATTCACTTGTGTAAATATTTTAAATTGAAGATCGAATTCATTCATTGTATTCATATAGGGTCAAGGAGTGTAGTTATAAAAAATCATCAAAATCGGAGTTAAAATAACCGTTAAATCGTGATTTTTCGTTTATAACCGTTGAAAAGCTTTGTCCCGTTACTTGATCTCTGAATGTTTTTTTTTTGTGATTTTTGCTGATGCGATCTCCAAGCATATACAAACAATTTTGACGGTTTGGATCGTTGAAATTAGTTTTGGAGAATTCGTAAAACGATAGATTGACTAACACTTAGAGTTTATTTATACTTTTATTAAGTATAACATAAGATTTTGTGGTATTCACTTGTGTAAATATTTTAAATTGAAGATCGAATTCATTCATTGTATTCATATAGGGTCAAGGAGTGTAGTTATAAAAAATCATCAAAATCGAAGTTAAAATAACCGTCAAATCGTGATTTTTCGTTTATAACCGTTGAAAAGCTTTGTCCTGTTACTTGATCTCTGAATGTTTTTTTTTTTGTGATTTTTTTGCTGATGTGATCTACAAGCATATATACAAACAATTTTGACGGTTTGGATCGTTGAAATTAATTTTGGGGAATTCGTAAAACGATAGATGGACTAACACTTAGAGTTTATTTATACTTTCATTAAGTATAACATAAGATTTTGTGGTATTCACTCGTGCAAATATTTTAAATTGAAGATCGAATTCATTCATTGTATTCATATAGGGTCAAGGAGTGTAGTTATAAAA